GTTGCACCTACTTTAACTCTTAGGCATATCTTAGTGTAGGTGAATAAATAAACAATGAGAAGATGAAGACAGAGCGTTGGAAAGATACTAAATGAGGCGACTTTATAGATCTAGTGACATTTCCTCGCTAATTTTTGATTTTCATTTTTCTAATTTTTAGCTTGAAAAACTTTCATCGAAGATGTATACCCGGTTTGATTTCTATTTCTGAGACGACCCTTTTTCTCCAGCTTAGTCTCATGGCTTTGATGATCTCTGATTTGAATGACGAAGAGAAAGTGAACTCGTAATTTCTGCTTACAAATACTCTAAGCTGGCCTTCTGTTTTTTCAGCTTGGTTTCCGCTAAACATGGCGGTCGGTAAGAATAATAATAAAATGGGCAAAAAGGGAGGCAAGAAGAAGGCCGTAGATCCCTTCGCTCGTAAGGAATGGTTCGATATCAAGGCGCCATCGATGTTCTACAATCGCCAAGTTGGCAAGACGCTCATCAACAGGACACAAGGAACCAAAATTGCCTCTGAAGGTCTTAAGGGACGTGTCTTCGAGGTGTCACTGGCTGATTTGAACGACTCTGAAGCTGACTTCAGAAAGTTCAAGCTTGTATGTGAAGATGTGCAGGGAAAGAATGTGCTCACCAACTTCCACGCTATGTCCATGACCCGTGACAAGCTTTGCTCCATCGTTAAGAAGTGGCATGTAAGTATCTTCAATGATATTATCTATTTTTACGTATTCTTCATTGCTTTTTGGCTAGCTTAACTATCTAATTTCAACCTTCAGACCCTCATCGAGGCTAACGGTGTGTTCAAGACCACCGATGGCTACGTCCTTCACCTGTTCTGCATTGGTTTCACCAAGCGATCACCAAACCAGGTTAAGAAGACCACATACACAAAAGCCTCTAAGGTCCGAAAGATCAGAGCTAGAATGCTTGAACTGATGAAGAGAGAGGTAAGCATTGCACATCATTGTAATTTCCATATTTCGTAAAAGTTTCTCCTTAGGTCCACGGATGCCAGGACATCCTTGCAAATAATATGTTTGCTCATATATGCTGTTATCCCAAAACAGTTTTCTTTTTGAGCGTCTTAGTGTGAAGCCTATTATGCTAATTTGAGGGATATTTTTAATGAGCTTCTGTAACTTTTGGTATAGTCAAAATGTTTGTTTTTACAGAGTATCAAAGAGAGGCATGAACAAAATATGCACATCAAATCTTTTTCTGGTCGTCATTTTCTCAAAAATCATCTTTTTACTTCCCACTTCGAAAACTTCACAAATTAGCGTGAAACCAACTATAGGAAAAGATCTGAGTTGATTTCGTGAGGAACATATTCGCGTTTTGGCACAACATTTTAATAGCATAAGCGAACAACAATTCTTACTTTATGAGTTTAAATTTTCTATGATTAATTGTTATTCCGAAATGTGTTGCCTGCTCTCTGAAGACGGCAACCCACTTTATTTTCTATTGTCATTTCTGTGGCTTGATCTTGGTGGCATTCACATTCAGTTTATA